TGAATCCGGCGCAGCATGCGGGTACCGCCGGCCCCGCGCACTGACGCAATAGGAAGGACTTAAACTGGCTTTACCACAGAGAAAAACGCTGCACAGCTGCGCCCCGACATGAAATAAGAGCATTAGGATCTGGGCTCGCTACAGAGAGCAGCGCCCTGGTGGGATTTTCTCTGGGATTAATTCTTCTGACTTTTGAGGATAGGACTAGGGTTCCCTCTGCCTTAGATGACTCAGGTAAGAGGCTCAGACCCTTAAAGCCTGTTTTAATTCCACGATGGTAAATCCTCCATTAAGAATGCTGGGGGAGGCGGCAGAAGCAAATGGGAGACACCACCGCTATGGAGCTTTTTTCAGTAGATGTTATGTAGAGAAAGGAGATCACGGCTCATCTCCGTGCAGGATGACAAGCAGCATTACAGGAGAGCTAAATCCAAAACCACCCACCTTTCCGAGGAAGAGCCCACACTTAAAATACAGGGTATTGTAAACCATGTCCTGTGGGTCTGCCCACTTCAAACTGAAACCATTCCTACACCACACACTTGTCAGTGCTAAGGATGGGGTAGAATCCTACAGTACAATTTGATAACAAGTATAGATGAGTGAGGAGAAGTGGACTGGAAATTGAGCAGCTCAGAGCAAAGCTTCCACCCACTTCCTAGTTCCTAAGAACCAGTCACTGCCAGGGCTTGTTACCTGCTCTTGTTCTCCCAAGTCAGCAGCAAGTGGGCTAAATGGAAACCGCCCCTCCAGTGCAGGGGCTGCAGAGGTCAGTGGGGTGATGAGAAAGCAAAGGGGATGTTTATCTGCTCCGGCAGCTCAAGTTCTTCCTTACGCTTTTGCTGGGAGCGGTGCTGTGGATCAGAGGACGGCATTTTCCATGAGCGCTGTGTCTGTGTGCGGTTTAAAGGAAAAGTTTTCCTTCGCTTCTGGAGCACACCACAGAGCTCGGCTCTCTTAGGAGTGCAGATAGCTTGTTGTCCCCCGTCTCTACAGACAGGAAGGTCCCCTGGGATGAATTATCTCAAACAGACCATGTGGCCTCCGTGTTGGTTAAAGAAGGAAACAAACAAAATGCAAAACATTTATTTGAGTGTGTTGTACAAAAAGTTTCCAGTCATAAAATGTATATTACAAATCATTGAAAAAGACAAGACATTTGGCATGCATATTCTAAAAAGAAAAAACCACTTTGAAATGATAAAGTCTAGATCATTATGTAGATTTCATAAGTTCCATGTGAACATTTTCATAATTTTGCCTTTGTATTTCAATTTGCAGTAATTTTCACAATTCCTTGTTTTAAAAACTTGAACCTTCCAAAACCTCATCTGCAGCACCTGACCAGAGGTGGTCAGTGACCTAGAACCAAAACTATCTAAATCAAGGTTGCGTTAAAAAAAATACTTTAAAAATATCACAATTCAAGTCACAAGGCATCACTGTTATGAAGATAGAGTTCAACGGTATTTTCTGCCCAAATGGAAAGCATTTTGGCCTAAACTTGTTTCAAATAGCTTATTGCTTATAATTTTAGTGTAATGATGATCGGGGTAGCTGGAATACACAGTAACATCTACCTTATCAACACAGAATCATCACTTCATTAAAAGCTAACTAGAAAATTTGGAAGTTCAATAAAACACATTTGATCTTCCTCAACTCTAAGTCAATTCACTGCTTGTGCTATTCTGAACCAAGTCTTTCAATATTAATAATCCTTTTCACTCTCTAGACCTTAGCATTTCAAGAAAGGCATTATGTTTACAAATAATAATTGCATGTAAATATGGTCTTGTATTAAAAAAAAAAACACTTTGAAATTATTTTAAACTGGTTTAAAGCTAAGCATATTGAAGGGCAAATAAAAATTCTGTTTCCCAGGCCATTTTAAGTGAGAAAAGAAACTCTCCAATATAAATTGTCTTGACATTCAGCTAAAATAATGCTTTGAAAAATGCAATCACTATCTCACCTTCCACTCACTGGTTTACGACAAGGCTTTATTTCCTGCTCACACAGGGTTTGGACCCAACAGAAGCAAAAAAATCCAGTATCAAATATGGATATACCTTTGTTTACAGGTAAGACTTTCAAAGAAGATACAGAACGAAGAGAGAATGGCTTCACAGTAAGGGAGAGAAGTGGCTACAAGAGATATAAAACAGACAGCATGCATGTTTGCATACGGCATCGACATCTTTCTGACGCACACAGAAGAGATTCTCAAATGTGCCGGGGTACAGAGAGGGATTTCTACAAGCCTCTTCTAACTAACCTCCATTCAGGTTGCAGTTAAAGGGCATTTATACAGGATGAGCATTAAAAGACAAAAGGGTCTATAAAAACCAGTAAGATCCCATAAGATCCCTGAACTGAACATGAGGTGTCCCGTTGCTCAAGGATAAACACGCACATTAAGTGATCTCCTTTCACAGTACAGTCTGCTTCACACTACAATACAATTTTCACGACTAACGCAAGCTACAGACAAGCTTGTCTGGCTCTTACATTACAGGTCATGGGAAGCATTTTTTTTTTTTATTTCCTGAGACTTTTGGTTCCTGCTACAAACACAAACTACACCAGCCAACTCCCACCTCATGGCAAAATGGTGCTGAAGACAACTGGTCAGTGTAAACTAGTTTTTGCCATGGCAGATGAACTAGCCTAGAATAGACACACTGGGAAATAACGCTGTGCAGCAAGAAAGGAATCATAGCCACTCTATTACTTGGTCTGAGTCACTGCAACACAACAGCTGAAGAAAGAAATACAGAAGCGAGCAAGAAAACAGGTGGCGTGAAATGTCGGAGGTGCTCTGTAACCACGACACTCTGGAGGACACCACGTTACCGATGGTTCTGCTGAAGGATGGACGTGTTCTGACACAAGCATCTTCACACGGTACGAAATTAGTAGCAGGTAGTATGTATCATCATGTTTTATATGATGTTTATATGATATTCTGATCTACACAATTAAAAGATTAGCTTAACTATTCTGCTGCTGTTAGGCTGTTACTCCTTCTCCCTCTTAACCAGTGAGAATCAGTTAGAAATAATTTTTACTGTTTTATCCAGAATGTTGTTTGCTTATTTTTCTGGAATAAGAACACCCATATGGGTAGTTACACTTAAGTAACTACTCTGAGAAAAGCTACACTGGTTAATTTCCATAATTGGAGAGGCCTTAAAATAATTTTTCTCCTGACAAGTCAAATCTATCTCTCCTTCAAGCTCTACACCTGATATCAGACACTGGAGTAGAAATGCTGACTATCCTCCAACTTCAAGAATTCAGGATCAAATAGGAAAAGAGGGTAAAGGGACACTGGATTTTATCTGAACAAAAAACTTTTAATTATCCTGAAAGGGGGGAGGGGGGGGGGGAAATCCTCAAAAGAAAAAAAACAAACCACCAAACCAAACAATGCTTTTTTTGTTTGGTAAAGCCAAAAAACCTCCCAGTGTAGAGCACCTTTAAAGGGCTTAGTGCCATTATAGTGAAGCTCAGCATCAAAAGCAAGAGGAAAGGATGGCATCTAGAGAAGCCGCACACACAAAAAAGAAACTATGTGGAATACAGTAGTTTTTCTGTGTCTTGTAATTTACAGCTAGGAATTATTTCTCGTATTTTTAGTAGCCTCTTAGAAAGCACTGTGGTGACAGAATCACCCACGTTTAGACTGCTGGCATTCAGCCTTTCCCACAGTGTCAATCACTGTTTCACACAAACACCTGTATATACCTATACATGTACTGAAGAATATGTTCTCAAGAATGAAATAAATTGTTTTCAAAGGACACAGTTCCAAATCTAAGGACAAATTCTGCAGACTGTTACTGAAGGGCACAGTGCTCATCACTAAAGATCTGCAAGCACCAGTCCGTAAGGCTACAAGACACATTCCCTATACAGTAGCTGTTAAGAAAACTATGGCTCAGGTAGCATGAGGTTTTTCCTCTTTCAAGCTGCCTTTCCTAGCCCATTCTTTACAGAAAAAAACCCAGAAATATCACAGAAAAAAAATGCAAATTAACTACACACTCATTGCTTTAGTATTTAAGATCACAGAACAATCTTAAATTTACAGGACAATCTTGAAGAATAAGCAATCTGAAAACTGGCCAATGTAAAAAAAAAATAAATACAGATCTTCAGGGAAAAAAAAAAAGCAAAAAGCCCTCAAACATTATGTAACTATAGTATAGAAAGCTGTGGGTCAGAAAGGGAAACATTGTCCAGTGGTTGGAAGGTGTATTGCAAAAATACTTTTACACTGATTGCATTCATTTGCATAACAACAAATTTAGAAAAGGTAATTGATAACAGTATGTCTGAGAAACATAATTTCACTAGATACATTTTACAGAGAGATAGACAGGATTTACTACATATTTAACCTTCTACTCAAGCAGAGTGGGAAAATTACATTAGAAAAACGGCCAAGTACATCAATGAAGTTACCCAATTAGCCCAAACAGCCAAATCTTCATAGTGCTTTTTTGTAATGGATCTTCTGGTAATGGATTAAAACATAATTCTAAATTTCTGCTAGTTTAACATCAGTAATTCAGTCATCCCACTGAAATGAAGAAAAGTAGCATCTTTGATTTATTTTTAAATGGCAAAATAAATCCGTAAGCTGAAGAAAACCCCTTTTGTTCCCACCCTGCTTGCATTACAAAGTCATCATCAGTCAAAGCCACTAAACTGACCTTCTAGGTTATATCTGTCAGTCACAATACTGTTCAGAGAACATAATGTCCAAAAGCCACCGAAAACATCCAAACCTTGTAGCTTGTTTGATGAGTCTAAACTATTTGAACGACAAGAGTTCAAGAGTGCAGGTAAAAACAGGACTCTATGCTGGCATCAAACGGTATCCAAATTTTGTATCCAAACTACTAACTAGTGGAAAAAAACATCTGCTTGTACAGTAGCCAGTGCATTCTTTGGAGCAGTCAAATATTTTTCCTAGTGCTTAAAGATGCACTACTATACAAATATTAACCCTTAAGGGAGTCAAGAGTTATCTCCACAGAAATGCAGCAGAAGAAACCTTAAGCTAAAGGGACACTGTCAGATACAAAATGCATCATACTGAAATTAAAAAAAAATCACCTGCTACTTGTACAAAGCATTTTTTTTAATAAAAACCATTATTCTCCCTTCACTCATTGTTAGACTTGACTTTGAGCCTTTGAACACTGCAAAGCAATGCTTATGTCCTTAACAACAGCAGTTTAACTTTTTTTTAAAAAGTCATTAAACTATTTCCGTACTGTTTTGCAAATACTGCTCCTTAAGATATCTGACAGTGCCCATATGAATACAAGAGAAATATGAACAAGCTGCATCTAGCTCTGATTAAAAAAGTCAACATTTACACAGGTTAACCTTTAAAATCCCCAATATTTATCATCGCCAAAAGTAAGAGTATTTTTAACATCTAAAATCCAAATCATTCTGTTTAACGCTGAATATGTCAAAAGTATTAAATCATGATGCTTAACGTCATGAAACACTGTACACCACAACCTGTGTCCATGATGTCACAAGGTCTCATTTGTGAGGATGTCAAAATCCCCTGAAAATGAAACAGTTAAAACTGGTTTGGACACTTCCCTACTTTAAGATGATGTGTATATTCAGTAAACAGAACCCATCATTCTCCATCTCCTGAAATAATGATACGGACCTAAGGTGTTGACAGGCTCAGATGTTTTTACCAAGAGCCTGTCAAACCCTGGAGCAGGACAAGATGCTACGGTCCTGAGCCGAGAATATCTAAAATGCAGCTTCCCTTTGCTACCTCCACTGGTGGAGGAGCATTTTTAATGAACCTGGGGTCTAATTTTCCTAAGCTGGGCGCTACTGAGGATACCAGGCAAGATACTACCATTTCTTAAAGGTATGGAGGAAACACCACTGTGAACCTCTCCTGGGGCCCTGCAGATGAACATGCTTTCTTAAACTTTTTTTTTTTTTTTTTTTTTTTTGCTTATCCTGGTTATATATGCAATTATAGATTTACCATACACTCAAGGAGTCTCATCCCATTTCAGCTAAAAATTTTTTTTCTGCTGCAGGTTTGTACATAAGACTTTAAACTCTGTATGGGAAAAAATACTGTATTCCAATATAGTGTTTCAACAAAGAGGGAAAAATAAAGAAATCTATTAAAAATTCTGGCAGTTTTGTTCAGTAAAGTTTTTTTTTTGATTTTTTTTTATAAAAATGTACCAAGGAGTAAACTTCAAAGAAATCAGATGATGCATATAAAAATAGTTTTCAGTGGCTCTGGAGGGAAAGAAATAGCAAAATAAAAGGAAATAAATGAAAGAAAATAGCAAATAATAGTTTCTTTTTTTCTTTCTTCACATCACTAAGCATCCTCTAGAGGTTGTTCTGGGATCCCCCTAAAATAAAACAGACATAGTTGAACTCAATTCTTACTAGCTTTGCATATTGTAAGCCTAGACTCGTTATCATCTCAATTGTTTTTTTTTTTTTTTTTGTATCTCAAGTTATATTCAGGGAACATCACGACTACAGAGAAAGCACAGCGCATGTCACAGTCTACTGCCGGAGCAAGATGCTGCTGCTCTGGTCTATGATGGGTTGACTGGTCAATCTCCAAACTTTCTACAACGATGCAGATGGCAGATGAAAATCACCATGTCATTAGCTTTAGAACAGGCAGTTCCTTCCTTTATTTCCAGTGATGTTTCCACCTGAGAGATCTATGCTCCATAGCTGCTTCTTTGGGTAAAAAAAAGTTTCTTTCAGTTGCTTTCTACTACAAATACACTGCTCAATCTCCCAGAGAGCAAAAAAGCTTTCAGAACTCAAGTTCAAACCTGTACAGTATGAGTTCTTTGTGAAAAGAACTACTAATGGCCACTGATCAGGAGAACAAATTACTGGAGTTTGAAATAAATTGAAAATATTTTCTGGTATCACCTGTATGAAGCATCCTTCTCCTTTTCACTCTGCCAACTGCTGGTCAGTTATCGCACAGTACTTAACTAAGGGTTATGAAAACATACAGGTGGTATTATTAAGAAAAAAAACAGATTGTGTATTATCAGAAAATAAACCAGTAAGCTGAAGCTTGAAGCACTGGAAGCACTATAAAACTTCCTGGTTTGTAATGGTTTTCTTTCCCAGTGGTTATATTCTGCTTACAGCAAGAATGCCACGGTTTGTTTTTTGCTTTTGTGTGTGTTTTGTTGTTCTTTTTTTTTAACAGAGAAGCAAATACTGGACTGGGAGGAACACTGACTGCTAAAACTAATGTTACCGACCCTAGAAACTGTCGATGTCATTGCAGTGCTGCACATCTCTGATCTGCCACATACTTCCACGGATACCCTGGCATCCTGAACCAACATTAGCCACTGCTTGAGCTGCACCAGTGTTGATTCAAGCAGCAGTTCCTGGAAGAATCCCTCCCATTATACCCTCTGTGCACGGCAGCAATGCTGCAGGGTTACAAGCCATTCCGAGAGCGCCCGCTGCAAGCATCCGTTGGAAAAACACACTAGAAAGCTCAGAGCTTGCAAAAGTTCAAGGGACCCCTCTAAATCTGATGCCTGATTAATGCAAGCAACGAGGCACAAGTTAAACGTGTGGTCTGCATCTTATTACCTGTTGGTTGAAAAGATCTTCCTCTCCAAAGTCAGCTTCATCCTCTTCTTCTTCATTCTCTCGCACAACTACTGATTTAGTAACGTTTCTCACTGCAACTTCCTACACAAAATGACAGATAAGGAGATGGCCAATAGTCAATCTCTCTCTCTCTCTCTCTATATATATATATCTTGTTTTTGCTATACTAGCCATATAATACCCCGATTAAATTTTGGAGGGTTTAAAGAAATTGCCCTAGATTTAACATTAGGTATGCAAGCAAATCCTGGTAATGTCCTGGAAACCACAACATTCCTGTTTCTATCCACTAAAAAGCACGGTAATGTAATTTACCTTCTGGAATTTTCTTTGATTACCTAGGGATTTGAGAGGAAACAGCCATGTTTCAGGAGGTCGTTAGTCAATTTTATACAAGGTCATCGCAGACCCAGCCAGGAGCTGTCTGAGACATACCGTGATGTGAGAAACTGAAGTTTCTCAGTATGATTTCACAGCCTTAGGAATATTCCTAATGTCTACTAAATATTCCGTATTAATTGCATATATCAATTATCAGGACAGTCTTCCAAACTAGGCACTAAAAAGAATTCTAAAACCCCAAAAAGCTTTCTTTATCACTAAATCATTTGTAACAATTCTTAGTAATAAGAAATTCTTCTGTACACTTGCACCCTTGAAATCACAGGTGCAAATTTCCACTTGAAGAAAAAGTCAGCCTAAACCTACACTTCTAAGCAGGAATACTGAAGGTAACCACGGTGGGAACAGACATGGATTTGAAATTTTTTTCAGATACTAGTTTAACCACTTTTTATTTAAATACTAAGCCAGTCAGCTTTCTATTTGTACAAGTGACCTTCCCTCCTACCTTGTCCTGTGCTGCCGTTCCTGCACAAAGTGCTTCCACAGAATTGCCAGCATGAAATCTGATACAACTGTGGTCGTTTCACTTTACTATTTCTATCAGATCACTGGGATAATGGCACATTTATGAATAACAGCCAAAGCACAATCCTCCCTTGCAGGAGTCTTCTGCAGGGATGGTTTTAAGAAAAAAAAAATAGTTGTGGGCAAATGCAGGACAATGCAGAATATACAGGAATGTGTGCCAAATGAAAACTTCTGGTATACTTCCAACATTGAAAGGACAGCCGTCTTCCTACAGGAACATTCACACTGCACCCCACAGGGTTGTAGGTACTATATAATGTAACTGAATTGCCAGCAACGCTTATTTTCTCTGTCTCTTTTGAAAATACATGCTCAAGTTCCAAACAAATTCTCTACTAGCAGGGTGTTTTTCTAAAACAGGAAAAAGTCATCTAAGGATGTAGTCAGGATGATTATTAGTTTTCCAAAATTTCCCAAAAATCTCAAGAGATACATACAGATATTTAACTATTTGAGGGTTATATACTGTCCTGTTTTAGGAGGCAACAGGGGAGATCTGAAAATCAGGATTTTGTTGTCACCATGGTCCCCTACCCCCCAAATTGAAAAGTCTGGGAGATGACCCAGCCCCCGGCTTTTTTCTACAGACACAGCTTACCTCCCCTTCGGAGTTTACGAGGTATGTGCGGATATTTCCTCCAGTGCCCCAGCTGCCTTGGTTCTTCCACACCAGAACAGAAGGGGGGCTATGGGATACACCTGCATCTGCACCCCAAATCTTGCAAGAAAGACATTCTGTAATTAGCTATTTATGCAGATTTTACTTTTAAGTATACAGAACCCTCTAATTCTCCTACTTCTCTCTACACATCAGTTTTGTTTCCGAATTCCAATGGCAGTTTTACCCTGCTCTTACCTACACCATTACTTGTACTATTATTCTCAGTCTACAACAAAAAGCAACACTATCCATTAAAAAAAAAAAAAAACAAACAAAAAAGAGAAAAAGTTACCTAATACTGCAGTCAATTCTTTTCTAAATATACATATTTCTCCTATCACTGTCTCAATGACTACACTGTATGGAGCCAAGACATAAAATGCAGCTTGTCCTGTATCAATTTAATCTTTTATACCTATCTGAGCAGTTGATACTTCAGTAGAAATAGCTGGAACTGATTAAAAGTAATTTTCTTCTTCTGAAAGAAATCTATTGCAGACTGAAAATAAAATGCAAAATTATAGAAAAGCAGCTGTTCTACTACAGTTAGGGCTGAGAACATCTAGTCTTAACTAGACTGAAGGAATGCTCTGAAATGTTCCTCTTTCATTAAGAGGTTGAGCAGGATTAGTGTTCCAAACCTGGGCAAAGGTGTCTGAAAACAAACAGCCCTTGACCTGCCCCCCAAAACACCTTTTTCTTCAACTCTGTGCCCATAACAGCCTTAAATACTTGTGCTAATACAGAAATCCAATTTCTGTTCTGCATTTTTGTATCTGAAATCCTGCTCCTCTAAAGTGAGATCCATGAAACCAGAAGTTTTACATCAAATCAGGCTGTACCCAACATCACAACTGCCCCAGTTAAGAACAAAATAATACGTTGTTGACATACTTTAAGCATAACTTACTGTTACAGTCTGCCCAGCTCTGAGGACATATTTAGGAGTAAATTTGTAAGCAATTTCTTCTCCATCTCCAATTTGTCTTTTCAGTCTCCAGTTACCCAAGGACTGATCCTAATGGAGAGAGTCAGAAGGTTATTTAGGGTGAGCAAAACAGTGCACAGAGGCATCAGAGCTTTCTCTAGGTCCCCTTGTTATTAAAATAATGCAAGTTTATTTACATGGTTGTTAGACATCTGCATTCTAATTTGAAAGTATTTTTCTATACCCTCTAAAGTGTAAATCCCATGAAGTCATTCAGCAAAATTAAAAAAGGCACGTATTTCACACAGAAAAGTTCTGCTGGAGCCAGCAAGGCTATTCACATGAGTAAGGTACCATCACACATTAAGACATTTGAGACACAAACTATATTCTCGCCCTGAAATCATTACACTCGTGCTTGCACACTTAACGGTCAACTTTCAAATGCCCCTGTTAATTACTGCAGGATGCTGCACCTCGACATGTTGCTCCAGCTCTCCAAGTGACCCCCCCTACTAGTACTACAAAAGGCTGCGTACCATGTCAGTTTAGCTCCCTCCCCCTCCTTGTTTTCCAAGAGCTCTGCTGACACTCACCTTCTCCGAGTTGTTCTTCAATTGAACGTATTTGCCCTCCAGGTCTATCTCTTCTATGCTGATACTTCCTGTAGCTGAAGCTTGCTGGGACATCTGGAAGCTACTGCTACTGCTGCTCCCACTAATACTTCCAGTGCCAATGCCACTTGTTCCGCTGCCTGAAAGCTCCTCTGCTTCAATACGTTTTCTCTTGCCTCGGGAAGAGCGAACAAGTGAAGTGCTGCTACTGCTGCTGCTGGAGGTAGCCCGAGAGACCGTAACACGGGAGGAGGGACTTGGAGAGAGCTTCAACCTTAACACAACGAAGAAAGCATTTTAATTAACTCGTCCAGGGAACCACAAAGCAATAAATGCTACAACATACTCAGTAACCGACTGTAATATGCCTCAAGGCTGAAAGCAGCCTCGCTGTGTGAGTCAGGAGGACTGCATATAGGAGAAGGGGGATGCTCTGCATCCCTGAGAACTGTTCTGGCAATATGATTATGTGACATGGAAAGCAGTGCTAGTGAGAGCAACACAGATCACTTATGCCTCCCCTTCAGTACATCTACTACTAAGACACTATTCCTGGGCCACATAATTTAAAAACAGGAAAACACAGAAATATAAGCACTTAAAAAGAAGAGATGAATGTTTAAGGCACAAAATTATATATTCCGCTGTACTCTGAGACCTTAATAAAAGCAAATTAAAATAAAGACACTGTTCAGATGAGAACACTTGCAAGTGTTCCATAAAACACATTGTGGTGTGAAGGCAATACAACTTCAGCAGGACAAAGTCTGGGCATCCCTGATCAAATGGTTAAAAAAATAAGCATAAGAAATGAAAATAACACCTGCTAGTTGTAAGAAAAGGATGTGGAATCTGTACATACCTTTCCTCTTCTCCTTCCAGAAGTTTTCGGTAAGCAGTGATCTCCATGTCCAGTGCTAATTTAACATCAAGCAGTTCCTGGTACTCCGTAAGCTGCTGTTGCATCTGGTCCCTCATGTCTGTCATTTCCCTCTCCTTTGCATCTATCATCTTCCGAAACTTTTCCCGCTCACCAGCCATCATTTCCTCCAATTCACGAATACGATCTTCTGCTGCACTAGCCTAGATAGACAGCACAATGGAAAACCCAGTTGGCATCTATGTGAGCACAGTAAAAAAGTTAAAAAATTCATCTCCCTCCCATGTGAACACAAAGATTTCTCTCTGTAAAATTCAGAAAATATGAAGGGACAGAAATGTTAATATATCCAAACAATACAGTGCTCTGTATTAGCGATGAAGGCAAGTTTAGTCCTTTTACCTGTTTCTGAAGGGCAGAAAGCTGGTAGCTCAGAGCTTCTATTCTCATGCGAGCCTCCTTCAACTCCTCTCGAGCTGCACCAGCAGCTTTATCATTTTGGTCAGAGGACAGTTTGGCATTCTCCAGCTGGAAGGCAAATGTTATACACATCACTTGCACTGAGTTAGATAGCCTGCAAATATCCATTCAGTTAAAAAAGACAGAACCTATTTAGTCTTAAATAACTTTAAACTGAAATTTGGTAAGTTTATGATAAGAATTGTGTAACATTAAGAAAATTATCTAAAGACCGAGAAAAACTATTTCAGTCTTTCAGTCCTATTCCCATAGGATTTACACTGGACCCCCCCAGCCAGGCTGGTTCAGGTTGACAGAGGAGCAACCAGCCTCACACCTTGAGGTGAACTTGCAAGCTGGAAAGCCCCTGGCTCACGTACAGGGGAGTGAAAGTGTCTTGAAAAATATTTCGAAAGCTGGTTTCGAAACCCAAAAGTACAAGATAACTAAAGCACACAAGATACCAGAGCTAAGCCAAAGACATCTATCTTGTCTATACTGTTGACTAGCAGCCAACTCCTTCACCCTGTAAATATTACCATGAGGATGGGCCCAATTTGAGCTCTCCCCGCTGGACTGCATGCCAGGTGACGCTCCTTGAGCAGGGATGGCCTCTCAAGGTTGGAGATTCCCTACCTGAGACCAAGAGACCCTTCCTTACCCAAGGCAGAGACCCCTTATTCACCACAGACCTTTGGTGAGTGACTGATCACATGAATTAATAGTGTGAAACATCACTAATCCATGTAGCTACTCAGTATTATTATAAACACTGTATGGATAATTCCTTTAGACATAAACCACTGACCAAGTCTGAAACTAAAATTGGATCCACCCACACCTAGGCTCCAAAAGGAGTTTGGAAAGCAAGAAGTTCCACTCTGAACCTCATGACTCAACAGGAGGGTTCTCCTTACCCTTTGTATCTCCAGTCTCTGTGTGAATCATTCTAACTCAATTTTTCTTTGTATATTCCTTCCATGCAGTAATTAATAAGGTGAACCTTGCCGTCAAAGTTATTGAACCTTGCCAAACCACTGTTAAACTTTGTTAAATTCCATCAAACTTATTGGAACGCTGTCAAATTATGACTTCACCTCAATAAAACATATTGCTGCTTCTCCCTTTTGAGTGAGGTGTATTTCACTCATCCACAACAACAGGCAGGTAAACCAAAAGAGTGCAATTATTTTAAAGTTTAAGAAGCACTCTCCTGGAGTATCTTAAACACTCCTATGTTCACATTTCCCCTCTACTCCACTCTGCTGAGACCCCACCATCCAGCTCTGGTGCCCGCAGCACAGGAAAGACGTGGACCTGTTGGAGCAGGTCCAGAGGAGTGCCACAAAAATGTAGTGACCGGTAGTTCCATGTGTTTTCTCACAAACTGGCCTTTCTTGGCTAAAGCTAGTCCTACCTACTCCCTGTGGCTATAACCTCCCTGGGAAATGCACCTGTGTGTAAGCACCAGAGCAGGCATCTGAACACTGGGACAGAGCTTCTTCACGTTATAATTACTTGTCTCCATAAAGGCAGTAGGGCTGGTGGAAACTGTTTTCCCTCACCGAGTGGACTTTCTGTCAGACAGTGCTGCGGGTAGCAGCAGTTACCTTAGCCTGATAGGTCTGCTCAAGCTCCATTTTGTACAGTTTGACTTGTTCATCATGTTGATTTCGCAGATCCTCCAGGGCCTGAGTCATTTTAGATTCGTACTCCTGTTGGCGACTAGTGTCCACCTCAACCAAACGATGTTCGTGTCGTTTTCTTGTTTCCCTTATTTCCTACACAGACACATAAAAAAAGGGGTAGACAAATTCCCACATTAGGGCAAACAGTACAAACAATTACATTCAGACAACAATTAATTATTTCAGTACTAATTATTCAGTATATAGGAGCTACAATACTAAAGGCATTTAAGCCTAAGAACTGCTGCATGTACATCAGATGCAAGTTACCATTCTTTTTTGGCAGGATGATTGTTAAGTGATTAAACTTAAAAACAGGTTTAAAAAGAGTCATGTATGGTTCAAGTAAGGAGCTGGTTTATGCTACAAAAGTCAGAAGCGGGGGGGAGAAGAAAACATGAGTTTTTACATAGCAGAGAGTTTCCATGTGCTGCAGTACAAATCTTTTCAACATAATCCCTACATTACAATAGCAGTCAACAAGTCAACAAGATAAAAGTGAACACTTTTTGTAACCATTACATATCGAAAAAATAATTACAGAGAAAAATCTGCATCTTCAAATCTTACTTTTAAGCATATGCAGATCTTATCTCTCTTCCTATATACTGGATGACCTCATTAGATTTGTATTATGTTAGTAATAAAGCAGCAACCCAAGAAATCCTGAAGACATAAATGTAATTTTTTCTAGTCAGAGTTTATACTAACAAAATTTCATTTTTAAAGAAGTATGAGTTCTCTGTGGCTAGAACACTGGTCCCAAACTAGTGAGGCAAGACTTACTCATGCACTCACCCACGCTGAGCCGGGCAGAGACCTGGCCAGGCTTGAATGCACGGTATGAGAAAGAAAGGATTTCTCCCTTCAGGGCAGGACCAACAAGGGAGCGGCTGCGTTCTGGGAGAAGGCCTGAAGGTAGCAGCAGGGCCATGAGGAGGAATAGCAGGCAAGCGAAGCCAGGCTCACTCTGCATGCCTGAACTGGAGTCATAGCAGGCTAACACAAATTCAGAGCGACTTTACTTGTTGTTTTGCAGAAATGCTCTGCATGTGAAAACAGACTTAGAAACATGCCCTTCTACTCACAGCAATATGCCCTGATGTGATCTGGAAGATGCTTTCCCTTCTGTGCTAAATTTTTAAGCCAATAAAACTAGCAAGCAGCAGTCTCTCAGTAACTGTAGGCAATGACCCTTCAGAGGCCATAAAAATATCCTGGGGGCCTACAAAGTATCAGGTGAAGGGCTGAGCTGATCCTGCAGGGGCTGAGCTGATTCTGCAGTTCAGCACCTCTGGAATAAGCAGGTTTCACTTGCCACACTCCCAGTCATGATGTTCTAACTCTTAACAGAGCTTTGGACCCTTCACTGAACCAAATGAACTCACTAACCTAAAGGAAACCAATTCTTTTTTCTCTTTGTGTGTTTAATTGGTCCATACAAGGATCAAAGAGCTCCAGGGACGGCTAAAGGAACACGTCCACTTCACCACAGCAAGCCTTAAGATTAGTTCTGCTGTCCCATTTAGCTTCACCTTTAGTCAGTAGTAACACAAGTCTCCTCAGGAAGGGAAGTTATTTTAAGGCCTTACAACCAAGCAAGGGTCTGTCACCGCAGGTGCGTGCAGAATCCAACTACTCCAGGGCATGGAAATGAGACAATGCTCAGTACCAACAGGGGGATCTACCTGGCTGGTTTCTCTGTCATGCTCCAGCCCCTGCCCCCTCATCCCTGCATCCCATCTGGGCACTCATTTGATTCTGTGGGAAGACAGAAGTCAGCCACTAAGCTGGCAAAAATTAAACTCAACCAAAAAAACCTCCAAGTATTTTCCTACTTAATCAGGCTGAAATGGTTTGGTGCATGGTGAGCTAAACATCACAAGTAGCGTCGGTGAGTTGAAGGGCAGAAGCATGTGGCAGCTGCTCAGCAGCCACTAACTAAATGAAGAAGAACCAAAGGTCAGAGTTGGTTTTCACAAGATGGAGTGAACTCTGGCACAGGGAGAAGGTCGTGCTTCCCTTTCCCAATCCCCACCTGTGCATTCCCACTATTTACTTTACAAAAACTCTGGTCCTCACTAGAACAACTACAAGACAACTCAACTCACTAAACAGGCTGAAAACTACCCTTCAGAAAACTACCACTGCAACAAGCAGGGGCCTTCCATACTGTTCTCATCAATGAAAACAGGTTATAGTCAGGTCCAACATTCAAAGCTGGCTAAAGTAAGGAGCAGGGCCTTGCAACCAGGTCCAGAGAGAGGGAACAAGAGCTTCCCTTTCCCAGAGCAGTCAGCTGCTACCTTAGCTCACCTGCCCAAGGAACAGTTCCCTTGTCACCTAGCTCTCATGCCAGCTCTGCCGCTGATTTACCATGTACCTCTTGCAAAACCTTGGACTATTTTATTACTCTATCCATTTATAGAAAGGATAATATTGATTTTCCCCACCTGGACTAGTTAGTAATTGTTTATATACAGTTTGATTCAAAGCTACATAAACTTTAGACTATATAATGATGCTAGGTTGATAATACCTCCTCAAACACATTCTTCCTGAAATCCAGATCCTCTTGCAAGCTCTGGCACCGATTTTCCAGGTCCACACGCATTAGTGTCTCCTTCTCCAACTGCTTTTTAGCCACAGCATGACCATCTTCAGCCTAGTAAAGAATTTTAAAGTTAATTATTTAATTGTTAATTGACTGGATCCCTATTTTCCATCCTTAATCCCTCTATGGTCTTTATTTAACATCTCTGGTCTAATTATTCACAACAACAAATCTAATGTCAAGCCACCGATTTAAAAAAAAAAAAAAAAAAAAAAAAAAAAAAAAAAAAAAAAAAAAAAAAAAAAAAGAAAAAGACTGTGTATGTGTGCTTATGAATATTTAAAGCAAGCTTTCATGTTTGTATAACAGTTATTTTAAATGTAGGATTATTTCAATACAGTACGATAATGGATTTGAGGATTATTAATTCCTCAAGTACAATACATTGCATGTCTTTCTTTTCCTTGCTAGTGTAGCCCCACTAGGTACTCCAGCATAAGTTTAAAATTATGTAGGATCTTGCAAAGGACAACATTTAGTAACCTGATACCTCATGAATACAGAAACGCCAGGAATTTTAAAATAAAAGCTTTTAACTAGCAAAATTTTTAAAACACTATGTTGCTTTGGTGGTTTTACAGAGATTTCTTACAATTTAGTTTTATATCCAAGATGGGGCAGCAAAGGTTCAGCAGTAAGCAAGCCCATCAACAGCGTTCAAACTATAAACTAACTGCAAAGAAAAGTAAGAAATTTTACAATAGCCTCTCCTGTGCTAAAGCAAGGAAGCATTCACTGCCATACCTTAGCAAGTTGGGCACGCAAATCAGCAACCTCTGCTTCCAGGCTGCGTTTCTCGTTCAGGACAGTATTGAGTTCTGCTTCACTTCTATGGAACAGCACTTCAAGATCCTTAATGCGACCCTGAGCCACGGACAAGTCTGCCTCTTTCTTCTTGTAGCTGAAAAAACAACAGTTAATTGTATTGATAACACGGGGGCACACACATCTTGAGCGTGTCTTGGTTACACAGATATTTTGTTCACTAGTCTTAAAATGTGCATAGTAACCGCTAGGTGGCTCCTAGAGTAACCTGCAAACGCAGCCAGTAAAAGTAATCATTAACACCTCTTAAAACTCGCACTTGTATGATGTGTTGTAAACGCACTGCCTAATAAAGAAGGGTGTATCATGTGCAGGCAAGGGCAAAAATGAAGCAGCAACTCTTGACAGCTAAGAGGTAACAATAAAGCTGCTTTACACACAAGGTGTGAAGAGTACTTTTTCACCTCGGCTGATCAGCACGTTTAATTGCCGACATCTACCACTTTGGACTACAGCCCCCGAGAAGCAGAGCATGTCCATCTCCCATAAAGGCCCACGAGCGTCCCCAGTGTTTTGTACTTGACGTGGCCAAGCCCCTTCCCTAGGATGTATTCCCATACAAGGTAGTAATCCACCACAGAAATGTCCACCTTCCGGGAACAAACCGTTATTTCTTCAGCAGTATTCCTTATGAGCAAAGCAATTCGGGTCACTTTAAATACGATTATCTGAGCTGTTACATCCAACTCACAGAAATCATCAAGGCCATCTTCCTCCTGCCCACCAAGTATTTGTCTACCTTCTCCCCTAACCAACTAACTTTCTGCAGCTTCTCTAGGTGTGTGTTATGTAATTAAACTGGTTTGTTATGTGAAGTAATCCTTCCCCGCTGCAGTTTAAGCTTGCTATTATAGTCTCACACCACTAAGAATGCAGGGAATGGCTTTTTGTTTTGTTATTTTCTTTTAAACCATCTTAGAATTCATTTTTTTGCTTCCCTTTCCTCAAACTTCTACAGATCTGCAATCTCCAGCCTGCAGTCAGTGAGCTGCTTTTAAGGGCCCACAGAAATAACATTGAAGAGAAGTCTTACACCTATAGGCTTTTAAAAGCTCCATATTTGGTCTTGCAAACTCCAAACATGAAAAAAGTATTGTATTTGTAAAGGGAAAAAAAAAAGCTGAAAACCATTGCTCTAGATTATACAAACCTTGCTCCCCAGCCCAAATCCTTAGTCTTGGTTCCCAAACTTCTGATCACTTGTACTGTCCTCCTGAATTTCTAATTTGCCCATAACTCTTAACCCAAGAATTATTTTAGAAAAATCCCACTTTATGTGGTATTGGTGTGCTCTACAGATGTTATTTCTTTAAATGCTTCAGCATGATGTGCATCTTTTTTCTAACTACAGAATAAATCAACACACTTATCTTGTGAAGTGCTCTAGCTACGAGGCTCATGTGCTCTCTTTGCACTCCTTGGTGCAGAGCTCTGAATTTGTTTTCATTTAACTGGAACCAATTTTTCTTATGGCCCAATTTGTCAGAGTCCTGCTCTGCAACATATGTGCGGTGTCTTCAAGTTCAGCAGCTCATAGAAGACATATAGACAAAACATGACTTCCACTTAAGACAGTTACTTAGCAGCAGCCAGAAAGCCTTCAAAATAAGGAGTCTGCAGACATGTGCCCCTGCATCACACATGTCACACAGTAAAACAAGCTGCTATGTATGTGTCACAGACAATCGGCTCTGGAAACCTCACCTGTGCAGTACCTAAAGGGCAAATGCCACCTCACCCCGAGCATGAACAGCCGTGTATGCTTACACAGCCCAGAGCTTCCTCCCACCCGAAGAAGCCCGGCAGCATGTCAGTATTCCCAGGGAGACGGGAATGAACAGCAGCATTCAACATTGCACCAGAAAGAACACCTGACAGTGGTAAGTATCTTCTGCTCCTTCCTGAACACTGACACTGGAAGACGCTCCAAGCTGCTTTCATATGTATTTTTATTTGCATTTATAATTTCAGCCTCATTTATTGTCTTCATGCAAAAGATCAACAGAAGGCTTAGCAAAGGTGCAATCTGCTTTTGGAGGAGCCTCTGAGATGCCTAGAAGTTACAAACAGCAGTCTGGGCATCTGTCGAAGGACAGCAGGTAGGTTAGGGTAACCCTCCGGAGCTTTTTTCCAGAAAGCAGACAAGTTTGCTCAAGGGAAATATTTGAGCAATGACATGCGGTAGCAGGCAGAGAAAGTTGCAGCAAGAGTCACACAATTCAGAGCTGGACCTTGCAGCTCAAGCAGGAGTACTGCTAAAAGGAGCAGATGGACGAGACCTACATACATCTACTTCCAGGTTTTGCTTGACCTGGAGACTTGTGACACCAATAAAGATCAAAGAATTGTCTAGGTTGGAAAAGACCTTAAAGATCATCCAGCCCAACCATGACCCTCCCCCTGACCCTTCCCAACTCCCCCAGACCCCTCAGCGCTGGCTCAGCCCGACTCTTCAACCCCTCCAGGGATCCCGGGGACTCCCCCCTGCCCTGGGCAGCCCATTCCAACGCCCAACAGCCCCTTCTGCACAGAAATCCTTCCTCAGAGCCAGCCTGACCCTGCCCTGGGCAGCTTGAGGCCATTCCCTCGGGGCCTGGCGCTGGGGCCTTGGCTCCAGAGACTCATCCCCCCTCTCTGCCCCCTCCTGGCAGGGAGTTGCCGAGGGCCAGGAGGTCTCCCCTCAGCCTCCTCTTCTCCAGACTGAACCCCCCCAGTTCCCCCAGCCGCTCCCCAGCAGACCTGTGCTCCAGACCCTGCCCCAGCTCCGTTGCCCTTCTCTGGCCATGCTCGAGTCATTTAATGGCCTTTTTGGGGTGAGGGGCCCAAACCTGAACCCACTCAGCGAGGGGCGGCCTCCCCAGTGCCGAGCCCAGGGCTCAGATCCCTTCCCTGTCCCTGCTGTTGCTGACATAAGTCAGGATACCATTGACCTTCCTGGCCACCTGGGCACACTGCTGGCTCCTGTTCAGCCGGTTGTCAATCAACAGCCCCAGGTCCCTCTCTGATTGTTCAAGATATGAATAAACACTTCATGAACATCAGGACAGGAGACTTTCCTTAACCAGGCCCTTCAAGTTACCTCTGCTATACTGAATGCATCCTGATCACTACACCAGGTCTGGTTCAGCAGTCTTGTGGGAGGGTGCTGTTCCACCAATGCAAAAATGTGCATCTCGCCAGTAAAGTCTTCCCATCTATACCTCCTCCACTCATCCCCTCCTTCCCTCAAGCAGCCAAGTTTTATTCAAGCAGCTAAAGACGTACATAAAGTGCTGGAAGATGTTACATAACATAATAGGAAAGAACCACACTTGCTTCAGAATTATATCAGAATGTCTATTTTTACAATAATATATTGATCCTAGATGTAAAATATGTCCCTACTCTTGATAGAAACATATTTAAACTGAAAGGTTAAGCACTTCCTTCTATCATATAAGCAGTGTTAGAACATCCTAAAGATATTTGACTTTATAAAAAGTGAAACTATCCAACTGCTTTATGAATCTAGTTAAGAAGTTGGCTCAACAGAAAAAAATTCTCAATTCATGAGTTGTGTTCAATGTACTAACTGTACATGTTAAAAAATACACAGAATCACAGGGTGGTTTGGGTTGGAAGGGACCTTAAAGATCATCTAATTCCCACCCCCCTGCTGCAGGCAAGGCCACCTTCCCCCAGCCCAGGTTGCCCAAAGCCCCGTCCAACCTGGCCTTGAACCCTGCCAGGGAGGGGGCAGCCAGAGCTTCTCTGGGCAGCCTGTGCCAGGGCCTCACCCCCCTCACAGGGGAGAATTTCTTCCTGATATCTAATCTAAATCTCCCCTCTTTCAGTTTAAAACCATTACCCTTCGTCCTATCCCTACACTCCCTGACCCAGAGTCCCTCCCCCCCTTCCTGCAGCCCCTTTCAGCCCTGGGGGGCCGCTCTAAGGTCTCCCCGGAGCCTTCTCTCCTCCAGCTGAACCCCCCAACTCTCCCAGCCTGTCCTCATGGGGGGGGCTCCAGCCCCTGAGCATCTTCATAGTCTCCTCTGGCCCCATTCGAGCAGGTCCGTGTCCTTCTAATGCTGTTGGTGCCCCAGAGCTAGACCCAGCCCTGCAGGGGGGATCTCAAGTGTTGAGCAGAAGGAGAGAATCCCCCCCCTCGCCCTGCTGCCCACCCTGCTCTGGGTGCAGCCCATCACACAGGTGGCTTTCTGGGCTGCAAGCAGACGTTGCTGGCTCACAGTCATCCCCTGATACCCCCAAGTCCTTCTCCTTGGGGCTGCTCTCCATCCCCTCCTCGCTCAGCCTGGGTTTGTGCTTGGGATTGCCCCGACTCATGGGCAGGACCTTGCACTTGGTCTCGTTGAACTCCATGAGGTTTGCACAGGCTCCCAGCCTGTCCAGGTCCCTCTGCAGCTGGCACATCCCTTCTCTCTGGAGTATCAACCATACTATGCATGTTTTGGTTGGTTTTTTTTCACATTAGAAAAAAGGTGCTTTGTCTCATGTTCATTTTCTTTTTGGGATGTTTCTTTTTTATTTTGTTGGCATCCTGCAACAAAACTAAAAGCTGTAAATAATACACACATACAATTCTATCTACTAGTTTTCACTGCAAAATAATTGTCTCAAGCAGTGTGAAGGCCCCTACCTTGAAGTGTTTTCTGTTTCTTAATTTACATTTGGAACCTGGTCATTGATTGTAACTTGACTGCTGATCAAAAAACATGGTAAAGCCAATGACAAATATGTGTATTCTAACACTAAAAAAAGCCCAAACCCCCACAAAGTTGGAAAATTATTTTCCCAGAAGGCCTCCCTCACAGGAAACACTTTTAAGTTTAGTTAAAATAGGATTTGGATGCTTCAACTTAATCCCTGGAATATCTGCAACATTCACAGGGTACTGGCACACAAGCCACAAAAAAGGACCCGTGGGAGGTCTGTACCATAGCACAGGGTGACTGACAGTGTCTACGGCAAGTGTGGGAATACAAGGGAAGACTGGCAAGGAGGACTGTAAACATGCTTAAGTGACTTGCAGCTGGAGCGTCAAAAACGCATATATCACACAGTTGTTTGTTAGCTTTG